CGCTCCCTTCCCCCCTCCCTCCCTCTCCCCCCTGCGCCGTCCTCGTGAACAGCCGCGGCTGGAACACGTCACCCGGACGCGTCGTCCTGTGGGTTGCCAGCCCCCCTTTCCCTTGTGGGAGCATGCGCGCGGAGGCGAATGAAGCTCAGCGGGGCCGGCATCTTGCCCTGAGTTGAAGGGAGGGGCGGGGGCAGATGGAGAGCGGGCGAACAAAGGCCAGGAGCGAAGGGGACCCGACTGGAGGCAAAGGAGAGAGGGCGACGCACGAGAAACCAACCAACGGGCGATTCTGTGGGTATCGTCTCACGCCAAGGACATCCCCGGAGGTGGGAGGGCATGCTTCAGAAATGCGCAGGAAAACTAGGGGTTGAAATTCTGCAATGATCTTTCCTCTAGTTTAGAGTTATGTTTCTAAAGGCAGCGACCGAAGTCCAAGTTTGAAACTAACAATTAGGTTTTTTTCCCTTACCCTAACAGGGAACGAGCACAAATCTCGATCGGATTATTATTGCAATAAAATACAATAAAACGCTACTTTTCTTCTAGGCAGGGCTATTCTTTAAGCTGCTGAGTGTCAGTCCTATTTCTCTTGAGCAACGCAGGCATACATTTGCCTTGGTTTCTTTTACCGATAAATATTTATAGTACATAATATATTATGGGGTGTGTGTGTGTGTGTGATTATACCAATATAACCCACAAATTAAAACGGCCAACATTTTAAACGGGGCTTTAAAGAAGATTCCCCGCTTCATCTTTTAAGCAGGAAATAGCGAGCTTTACAATATTTTGTTAGGGACCCTTGTAAGATGGAAAGGGGGCTGCGTTTTCCAATATTCCCATACCACCATTAGATTCAAGATTTCAGGGAAGGGGAAGGATGAGAACAAAATAGCATTGCAGGAGCAAAGGCCAGGCCCCTTGATTGGGCCTTGATGTATATTTGTCTTTATGCATTCCAAATTTATAAGGATCGGGGGGCATCAAAAAGTCAAGATGGTGGCCACGGCTGCCTTGACTCTGGACATCGCTGCTAGAGAGAGACAATAACAGTGAGATGCACGCTCATTTGCTGTCAGGGCCCCTTCCCACTTTTAGAAATGATGGAGGACCCCCCCAAAGAGCTTTTGTTTTTATGGGCGGTATTTATCAATATTTACCATATTAAAATTGAACACATTCGCTGCCACTTCTCTCAATTGTTTGGTGGGATTTTAATATTGTATTAATTTTCAGCGTGGGCTGGCAAATAGTTTTGATTTCGCGGACCCCTGAGAGGGTCTTGGGGGGCCCCAGAAATCCTAGGACCACACTTTGAGAACCCTAGATCAGTGTTTCACAGTCTTTAAGATGTGTGGACTTTAACTCATGCTGGCTGGGGAATTCTGGGAGTTGATGCCCACCCATCTTAAAGTGACCACGGTTGAGAAACCCTGTTCTAGATCAGACCAGGTATACGCTGCTCTTCCAGGGGTTGCTGAATTACAACTCACAGCATCCTTTAGCGTTGCTGGGTGATGGCATGAGCTACATGTCTTGGCAAGGCGTGTCCCTGAACAAACCAACCAACCCCCTAAGGTTTGGAAGCACTATTTCAGTGTCCCACAACACTCCCAATATCCAATTTCTCGGAAGTACTGGAAAGTTCAGACTGCCCCTCTGATTACTACTGTTCCTGCCCCCAAAGATGGACAACGCCTTGACCGGGTTCACCCAACTTGCTTAATCACGCTTGGTTAAAAAAAAAAATGCATTAAATTGGTAAGGTAAGGTTTGTATGTTTTAAGCTATACTTCACAAAGCACGATGGTGGGGTTGTACTCGCTATGGCAAAACAAAGCCTCTTGAAGGTTAGGATATTGGGTGAAGCTGCTGCTTCAGTATCTTTTCATTCTGGTGATGGTCCTGATCGGGTTACAGGTTGAAATTTGGGGCTGCAAAATAAACATGCAAAGGCAGGACGAGGACCTTGTACCTTGATTTTCACTACTGTTCAGATGCAAACCTTGCCATGAGACAAGGAACCAAGTTTAAAAACTCCTGCACTAAAAATAGTATTTTTATCCACATCGTCTCAGCCAGCACCAGCAACTGGCTGACTTCCTGTGGACTCCCCAGCTATGCAGCATCGGTTTTCGTTTGTATGTGGACGGAAGACCACGAGCGTGTAGCGGGCTAGATGAAAACCGAATGAGATCCTTAAAAGTGGCAACGGCAAAACCATTTTGGCATTGCTGGCAAGAAAAGCACATGGACCCGTGTATTTATTAATGGATTTTGGCTTGGATTTGGGTAGGGAAATAAAGTCAGGTGGCATATCCAGTGCATTATTTGCCAAACAGCAATGGCTGCTTTGTGGTGAAAAGCCAGATCACGTTTTTGTAAATGTTGCAACTGAAAGTGGAAATGTACAATCTCAACAAACCAACCAGCCCTTCCTCTTGACAGCTGAAATGTACAATTCCTCTGCATCTCTTCCAAATTAATAATATAATAATCTACCGATGAGACAGTTGAGCTTCTCCAGTATCAAAACTTGGATTCTTTGAGACTCAAATATTTATTTGTCATATTTATATGGCCGCCCATCTCACAAACAAGTGACTCTGGGCGGCGTGCAACATAGCTAAAAACAATATATACAAACAATATTATTAAAAAAACTTCAAGATTGTAAAAGGTATAAGCTAAGAAGAAAAAATATTGGGCAAACAACAGATGTTAATGACACTGGAGCCATCTCAGTATTTCACCAGTCCCTTGGGGTCCCCAGGCCTGATAGCACAACCAGGTCTTGAGGGACTTCCAGAAAGTTAGAAGGGATGAAGCCATAAATTGGGGGCCACAGCACAAAAGGCCCGTTGCCTAGGACCTGCCAAGCGCAGCTCCGTAGTTGACAGGACCCGCAGCACACCCTCCCTGCTGGATCTGGTGGGACGGGCAGATGTAATCACGGGGAGGTGATCCCTCAGATAACCTGGTCTCATGCCATGTAGGGCTTTAATGATCAAAACCAGCACCTTGAATTGGACCCAGAAACAGACTGGTAACCGATGCAGCTCGTGAAGCAGAGATGTAATGTGTGTTCTAGAAACACACAATCGTCTGCAGCATTGCATTCTGCATCAGCTGAAGCCTCCAGATACTGTTCAAGGGGAGCCCCACGTACAGTGTGTTATAGTAGTCCAGCCGGGAGGTGACTAGGGCATAAGTGACTGTGAGTAGAGCCCCTTTATCTAGGAACAGGCACAACCGATGCACAATATGAAGTGGAACAAAGGCCCCCCATGTACGACCCCCACCTGCTCCTTGAGCAGGAGTCATGAGTCTAGGAGAACCCCCAGATTGAGCACAGGGTCTGTTTGGGCAGCGCCACCCCATCCAGCACTGAGATGGTATAGTCCTAGAACTGGCAGGCCCCCAAACCCAAAGCCACTCAGTCTTGCCAGGGTTCAATTGAAGCCTGTTGCTCCCTATCCAGACCCTCACAGCCTCCAGGCACCAGGATAAGACATCCACTTAATTTGCCAGGGGCAGAGATGTATAATTGGGTATAATCAGCGTACTGATGATACCTCACCCCATGGCGATGGATGAGCTCACTCAGTGGCCTCATGTAGATGTTGAATGGGAGTGAAGAGAGCACCGACCCCTGCGGCACCCCATACAGTAGGAGCCAAGGGCGGGATCTCCCCTTCCCCATTCACCACCGACTGGAATCGACCCTGGAGAAAGGAGGTGCACCAGCATAGCACCGTGCTGCCCACCCCAATCCTCTGAGTCGATCCAGAAGGATACCATGGTTGATGGTACCAAAAGCCACCAAGAGGTCAAATAGGGCAAGGATGGATGTGCAATCCCATCCCACCCACATTAGAGATCATCCAAAAGCATGACCAATGCCATTTCTATCGCATACCTGGGTCTGAATCTTGACTGAAAAGAATCCAGATAATCCGTTTCATTCAAGGTCCTCTGAAGCTGTTGTGCAACCATTTTCTCAACCACCTTCCCCAAAAAGGGGAGGTTAGATACCGGACAAAAATTGTCCAGTATGGTAGGTTCCAGCGATGGCTTCTTGAGGAGGGGATGAACCAAGGCCTCCTTAAGAGGCAATGGAACAAGCCCCGCACGCAAGGAAGAATTTGCCACCTCTAGAACCCATTCACACGACACCCCTCAGGCCGCCTTAACAAGCCAGGAGAGGCATGGATCTAAAGAGCAGGTGGCTGAGGTCACAATCTTAAGGACCCTGTCCACTTCATCAGGCCCAACAGGTTCAAACCATTCCCAGATAACGGGGCAAGACTCCTCCCCAGGCATCTCCCTTGGATCTGCAACAAGGCTGGTGTCCAACTATGAGAAAATTCGAGTGACTTTGACAGATACTGAACAAATACTTCCGCACGCCCCTGCAGGAGATTCTCTGAGCCCCCTCTACCCAAGAGAGAGCACCTGTCACCCAAAACACGGCTGCAGGAATTTTGCTGCTTTTGAGGCATCCTGATGAAATTTTTTGCTGCTATTACTATCAAATCTTTGGGAGGACCAGAGAAAGACCACTTTGGAGAACATCTGGACTAACATGATGCCCATTTTCCCATCTTCACAAGAAGTTTTTAGTTATACATATACTGTGGGTGGACAAATCTAGAAGGCATTTTAGCATTCATTGGCTGGGAGCTATTCTCGTCATAATCAGGAAGAGGAAACATTGGTGTCTTAGGTTTCTGTAAAAGAAAATTAAGATTAAAAGTCATACAAGGCAGTGTTTCTCAATGATCCAGTCATCTAGGTAGGACGTTTGACTCTTTTCTCGCAGATGAAAAATCCACAAAGGAGAGGAGAGCAGAGAAAGACGGTAGATCAGCCATCTTCAGGTAGCTGCAAACATCTGAACAATTACCAGGTGCCAGCAAATGTATCAAAACTAATTATTTTATGCCATCCAGCAGTTGTCTACAGTTTTGCAGCTCAAAACTGGTAAGCTAAAACCTAGATCAGTGTTTCTCAATCTTGGCAGCTTGAAGATGTGTGGACTTCAACTCCTAGAATCCCCCAGCCAGCCAGCCCCCCCCCCGCTTGCTGGGGGATATTGGGAGTTGAAGGCCACACAACTTCAAACTGCCCAGAAAAGGGAACACAAGCCTACAACAATGCA